GGAGAATAGAATAGATTAGAATAGAATAGAGAAGAGAAGAGAAGAGAAGAGAAGAGAAGAGAGTAGAATAGAATAGAATAGAATAGAATAGAATAGAGAACAGAATAGAGAATAGAATAGATTAGAATAGATTAGAATAGAATAGAATAGAGAATAGAATAGAATAGAATAGAATAGAGAATAGAATAGAATAAAATAGAATAGAATAGAATAGAATTCTTTATTGGCCAAGTGTGATGGGATACACAAGGAATTTGTCTTTGTGCATATGCTCTCAGTGTACATAAAAGAAAAAATACATTCATCAAGAGTCAAGAATCATCAGGTACAACACTTAATGACAGCCATAGGGTACAAGAAGCCATCAAATCATACCAGGAAACAGTCCTATGCTTCTGTTTGCAGCAGAAGAAGCAAGTGTAACAACCTTGCCATAGCTGGTAGCACTAGGTGGGATGGGTCTGGAGGTAGCTGTGTTGGAGAAGATAGCCAGGCCTGGGGAGTCTCACAATGGGGCTGAGAGTTAGGCTGAATGATTGGTTAAAAAAAAACATTTTTCATAGTTATTCTTTTTTTTTTTTTTTTTGCTTCTTTACTAGAATATCTTGTTCTGGTATGTGTAACAAGGTATGCAAACGAGAAAAGAAATAATTTAAGTTTGCTTTTCTCTAAAGAAACAACAAGTACATTAAATTGCAAGTTATACTTTCAACATTGGAAATGCCTCCCGAATTGAAGTTTTTGGTGATCAGTAAGTCTACTAACACGCGATGAATTTATTTATGTCGTATTTTTATGCCCCATTATCGGCCCCTTAGGAAAGAAACATGGCATCATTATTGGGACTCGATTTCCCTCTTCCATCCTCAGGGACCGTCTTGATTTCTGGTAGCCGAATCTGTCCCGCTGCAGTTTGATCCTCTCCGGCCCCATGACTGAAAAGTACAAGCACAGTTTAGGAAAATATGCTTCCTTTAACAAGAGGAGCCGAGATCGAAACAGAGATGCTTCGCGTCTTGCTTTCAATCCGTCTGGCCGTTCCCTTGTTCAGAGGCCAAGCAGTTCCCAGAATTGCTGGCTGTTGTGACTGTTGGGATGAGACTAGGCCAGGGGTCCCCAACCTTGGCCGCTTTAAGACTTGTGGACTTCAACTCCCAGAATTCCTCAGCCAGCAAAGCTGGGAGTTGAAGTCCACAAGCAAAGCTGGCTGAGGAATTCTGGGAGTTGAAGTCCACAAGTCTTAAAGTGGCCAGGGTTGGGGACCCCTGGCCTAGATCACAATCACAACTCAATCCTTCTGTTGACTCGAGAACAGAAGCTTCTTAGGCTGGTTCAGACATTGCAGCAAAACTGCTGATTTGGGGTAAGCCTGTCCAAGGGTGGAAACACCCCCCCCCCCCAGTGGCTAGAGAAATGGGTCTTAGCGCAGGAGTTTGCAGTTGGTGGTCATCTCCCTCTCGCTGCCCTCCACGTGCACCTCTTCCCCTTTAGCCAATGGGAAGAGTCTGGAGAGGAGGGCGGGTTGGGAAGACTGATAGTCTTCCCCACTGATGTTGATGTAGGAATTAGTCTTCATTTTCTAATCTTTCTTACTTCCTGCCTATTAGCAGGAAAATTCCAGCTTCCAGGGGATAAACTCAGAGACCTCTACATCCATAGAACAGTTGAAACTTCAAGAGGTATTTCTTAAACACTGTTTATTGTTTCAATAAAAACACACTTCTCTTTGCTTACTATATTTGCCATGCTTCACAGGAAACTACTGGATCTTTTGTTTATTTACCACTGTTGTTAAGAACAGTGGTCTCCTATACTGTTTTACTCTTCTTTAAAAGGCATTTTAACATTTTGTGGTTTATTTTAAATTTTCCAGGTCTTGCTTGATAGCTCACCTCTCTGCCTTTTGGATCTTGTATTTTGGCTTCTCTTAAAATTATTTATATTTTACCTTCCAGTCTCTTAATTTTGACTGGGAATAAGCTGTCATTTGGCATCAAGAGAGATGAGCAAATTAAATGTGGTCTTAAGGACTGGTCACTGGGAATTTCTCTTGAAGGAGACGGGGGAATAAGTTGGTGGGACTTATGCAGACCATCCTGAACCCTCCCGAGATCATGTGGGTCGGGGAGGACTGCTTACAAGTTTAGGACAAGAGTCACCCTGTTAGGGAGATGGGCAGCATATAAATTTAATATATAAATAAATAAAGTGATAGCTTTTCTTCCTTTTACAAGTAGTTCCCAAGATACTCTACTACCATCATTTGATGACTATTACAAGTTAGGACAGCTCTGAAAATAGCCATAGCCCTTAGACTTATACACCGCTTCACAGTGCTTTCCAGCCCTCTCTAAGCGGTTTACAGAGTCAGCCTCTTGCTCCCAACAAGCTGGGTCCTCATTTGACCGACCTTGTAAGGACAGAAGGCTGAGTCATTCTTGAGTCAGTCAGGAATAAACTGCTGGCAGTGGGCAGAGTTAGGAAGGAAGGAAGGCAATAACACTAGCAATAGCCCTTAGACATTTACAGCCCTCTCTAAGCGGTTTACAGAGTCAGCCTCTTGCCCCCAACAATCTGGGTCCTCATTTGACTGACCTCGTAAGGACGGAAGGCTGAGTCAACCTTGAGCCTAGTGATATTTGAACTGCCAAATTGCAGGCAGCCGGCAGGCAGCAGAAGGAGTCTGCAGTACTGCACTGTCACCACTGCACCACCATGGCTCATGGTGACTTATGACCATTCCTCGCACTTACAACTGTTGCATTGTCCCCATGGTCACATGATCATGTCTGTCAATCAGCTTTCATTCCCAATGGCTTCAGGATCCCAGGATCGCCATTTGAGACCTCCCGGTCGGCTTTGACAAGCACAGGGCATAGGGAAGCCGCCAGGAAAGGCCACGAATCATAATCACGTGGTGTCTCGGTTAACATAAGGACTGCAGAAAAAAGTTGTAAAACTGGATGTGGTCATTTGTTGAGCGCACCATTTAGCAATTAATTTTACCATTCCGATTGTGGTCGTTCGTTGAGGATTTCCCGTATGGCCATGATGATAGCTATAATGGAGCTCTGCGATGTGTAACTGATGTATAGCTTTTTTTAATGGCCTGGTAACTTTCCACTGCAGTCATAAAAATTGCCTTTTATTTTTCATGGGTGACCTTGCTGGGCGTGGGGATCGATCGCGGTGAGGAGGAACAGCTTTCACATGCAAATCAAGAGAGATGCTTTGGAGTGGAACACCCCTATGCCCCCCCCCCAAAAAAAACATATTTTCTTCTTCAGATCCAAAGGGATCCACTCCCAGCGATCATGAAATGGCCCTGTCAGTCTGTGCTCCATTCAGAATCCAAGAAAGAAATACTTAGACTCCATAGATTAGAGCAGGGGTCCCCAACCGCCGGTCCGCAGACCGATACCGGTCCACGGAACAACTCTTACCGGGCCGCTGGTTGCTGGGCGCCGCCATCTTTTTTGACGAAAAAGTGCTTCCGGTGAAGTCAAAAAAAGATGGCGGCGCCCAGTTGATGCCGGTACCGGGCCGTGGCGCCCAGCTGATGCCAGTACCGGGCCGCGGCGTCCAAAAGGTTGGGGATCCCTGGATTAGAGGAAAGAAATCTTTTACTGAAAATTGAAGTGGTAGCTTCAGGTAGAATTCTGAATCTAAGAAATTAGGCGCGCAGATCACATATACAAAGGGATGGAATTGTTCCCACCCCCCAAAGTTCAGAAGATTCTTCCAATTAAAAGTTCTGGATATGGTCATGTGGGCATCTTCAGGTGGTGATGAGGCCTCTGTCCGTTGACCTTGGCATATTTTGATAAAGATTCGCAGCTGCGCAGAGAAAAGGAGTACTAAGCAAGGAATAGAAACTTAAGAGCAGGAATTTATACTCCCCCCCCCCCACTCCTCATTTATACAACACAAGAATGTAACACCTCCAGCTCTCTTCCCAGACGTAACCCCTCCCCCCGTTACTTATGGCAGCCAAAAGATGCAAAGCAGTAGAAAAGATCTTGAAGGCTGACAGGCCCTTTTAATGGGACTGCAGACCCCTCGGGATTCTTCCTGCGGTCTCTGCTTTCGGTTCCTCCTGGTGTTTTCTCCCGTGTGCTCTTTGGCTCAGTCTTCACTTCGCTTACCTGAAAAGGAGGCCACCTTTTGGCTGTCATCGTTTGAAATCCCAGAATCTTTTCCTCGTCCAACCTTAGCAATCCAGGTTGCACCCAGTTGTGTTGCAGACATGAATGCTATTAAACACACCTCGGTTCTCCAGGAGCAGGTCAGCACCCTCAGCTGAGCATCAGAAGATCCCAGGGGATCCCTTGGATGCCCGGCTACCAGGCTCAGGTGCACAGCCCTTCCCTTTTTTTGTCCTACCCTCGTGTGCCACAACTTGGGCATGGCTGGCAGTGCAGCTTCTCCAGGGGCAGAATTATTTGCCCGACAAATACCCCTAAGAGTTCTGGGAGGTGTTTTGTCATCCAGAGAGGAGAGGAGCCCGGGCGGAGAGGCTTGCTTCCCAGCTCGTCCTGCGGCTCCTCCAAGAACCCCTTGGATTGTTGAGGCCACCCCAACAGTCCTGAGCGAGTGCAAAGGGATTGCCACTGTGGCCACCCAATTTGGGACACGTTGGCATCAAGATGTTAGGTTGTCCTCTCCCTCAAGTACTGTAAAGGCACCACTGTTGTTTTCTTGGCAACTTTGTGGAAGAAATCAAGAAAAAGAAGGCTGTTGTGTGCCCGTGGGAAAATGGTTTGGTGATGTTTCCTTCACAGCCATTTGCTTCTTGGCTTCCCTAGCTGGATCTTTCCTCTCTGAAGAGAAAAAGACAAAGAAAGCAGACCACGGAGCGACAGTCTCTCGCGCTAGGGAGGAGCCCTCTCCGATGGGGCTTCAGTTGGGTCAGCCGTGATGCAGCCGGATCTCAGTGCAAGGGGCTCAGACTTGGTTCTTCTGGCTTAGGGCAGTCCTGGTCCCGAGCAATTGAATGGGGGTGGGGGGGGGGCAGGTCTGTGAACTTAGACCTGCAGCCCCCTAGTGTTCTGACCAAGGCTTCCAAGACCGTAATTAAGCACACGCTTAGTCCAAACAACTCTCTTTTTATTTCAGTGCTGGGAATTATGTTCATTCCCAGCCTGTAATGAGTCCCAAACAGTCCCTCGAGATAAGCACCCACTTTTCTCACCTTTGAATTGCTGCCAACAACAAAAGTGCCAAATGAACTATAAAAAAATCAACCGAAGTACAAAGTCCACCCAGAGCTTCAAGGTTTAATCCAAACAGAGCAAATGACTTTGCTTCCTGCAAAGGTTTCTCTACCTTTGCCTGTCCTTTATACCTTATGGGAGGGGCCAGTCACCTCCCAGCCTTACTCCCGAGTTGCCCCTTTTGTTTCGCCTTCTAGCAGCTCTGCGCACACGTGCACTGGGAACAGGCTCCCCTGGGTCCTCTGCCTTGCTGATGCCAGACTCTGGAGGCTCCAAAGGCAGCACCCCACTCCCAGATGGTCCTGGTCCCATCTCTGCATCGGATGGAGGACCCTCGTCCGAGTCCTCTTCAGGCTCCCGGACTGGTCCTTGTTCTTCCCCACTATCCAATTCCGCTGCCGTCTGCACAGGATGCCGGTGAACCACAACACCTAGGCAGATGGGGCAGAAACTGGGCTATAGTTTGGGTTTTGGGCATTACACCCGTGGCCTTGTGGGGCTATAGCTAAGGGGGAATTGCGGGCTCTGTGGTCAGGCAACCCCACCTCGCCCTTTTCTGCCCCTGCCTGGCTAATGTCCCTTTGTTGCTGTCCACAGACCTGCAATGCTTCCTTTGCCACCCGGGACCGGCTGCGCTCCCACCTGGCTTGCCACGAAGACAAAGTTCCGTGCCAAGTCTGCGGGAAGTACCTGCGGGCCGCGTACATGGCGGATCATTTGAAGAAACACAGTGAAGGACCAAGCAACTTCTGCACCATCTGCAACAGAGGTAATGGGTCTCCTGCAGCCGGTGGGCTAAGCGGGTGGGAGGGTGGCTTGACTGAAGCCGATTGATGTCTCTGGAGGAGGAGGAGGAGGAGGAGGAGGAGGAGGAGGAGGAGGAGGAGGAAAGCAACTCTTTCATTCGACAGAAGGATGTTCCCCTTGAGCTTGTTGTTGACTTTCAGGCACAAAAGACCCCCAGACCCTCTTCCATTGCTGCAGCCCTGGTGCTTCTGGACATTCATTCAGGCCTTCCAGGCACCAACATTAAGCTCTGGGCACAGAGCAGGGGCTACCTGTGCATGGACCGGCTACCCCAGGGCCCCGCCTTGCTCTCTGAGCCACCTCAAAGGAGGAGGTCCTGGGCAAGGGGCAGGAACCCAGGGCTCTTCCAGGGGCTTCTCCCAGAGCGCAGCATTTCCAAGAAGGCGGAGGAGGGTGGGGTGGGGTGGGCAGGGCAAGCCAGCGTGCATTGTCCTCCCTCCGCCATGGACGGCTGCTCCTCTCTGCGAGGCGTCTCTTTCTCTCTCTCAGGCACTCAGAACAGCCTCGCTGAGCCTGGAAGAACCTTTCCTGTGGCAGCCTCAGGGCCGTGACCTACGTTTCCAAACATGCGGTGGGGTTGGCTCTGCTCTCTGGTTCGTCCCCACCCGTTTTTTCCCCTCTGTGGGCCTGTGCCAGATTGCAGCCGTAGCCCCAAAAGACACGATCCAGGGCTTAAAGCTGTTTCATTTCTTAGATGGCTCGGTTTGGATGACTGCAAGGGATATCGGTGGCGAGGCGTCATTTAGACTCCTGGAGGAGCAAAAGGATCTTCCTCTGAGGAACCGGCTGCATTTGGGGGATGGTGGTGCAGGCAAGGAAAAGAGGGACCGGCAGTTTAGTAGATCAGGGGAATGCTCTACACTAGCGGTTCCCAAACTTTTTCGGTCCACTGCCCGCTTGGTGCTACAAAGTCATCCTCGGTGCCCCCCCACCCCCCACAGGGGTGGGATTCAAATTTTGGTGGGTGTGGCCTAATTTGAGGGTGTGGCTTGCTAGTCATGTGACTGGGTGGGTGTGGCTTGCTAGTCATGTGACTGGGTGGGCGTGGCCAGGTGACTGGCAAACCAAATACAAGTGGTCCTCAGTTAATGGCCAGTTGTTGGTAGATAGATAGATAGGTAGGTAGGTAGGTAGGCAGGCAGGCAGACCTTTTGGATGAATGTATGGATAGGTAGGTAGGCAGGCAGGCAAGGAGGCAGGAAGACAGACAGACAGACATTTTGGATGTATGTATGGATAGGTAGGTAGGTAGATAGATAGATCTATATTGGTAGATAGGAAGGTAGGTAGATAGACAGAAAGGCAGGCAGGCAGACAGACAGACCTTTTGGATGGATGGACGGACGGAAGGCAGACAGACAATGCGACAGCGGTAGCCCTTTGGGAAAGCAGTGGCGGTGGCTTTTCCCAACGTGCTGCCACATTCAAGGCACTGGCTCTGGTGCGGTGCAACCGTAAATGGGTGAGCCTGCAGGGCCGGCGCCTCGAACACCCCCCTGCCGGCCCCCTTGCCTCTT